GGAGGGGAAAAAAAGAGGCGCTGATACCAAGGGCTCAAGTAGAAAGAAAATGTTTTGAAAATGATGATGGCAACATATGTACAGATGTGCTTGATACAATTGATGTATGGACTGTTATAAGAGCTGTAAGAGCCCCCAATAAACTGATTTATATATATAAAAGAGGAACTGCTGAGAAGGACTTTTTCTCACCATCACAGGGACAGCATCCATCTCCACCATGCTCTCTGTCTCGCAGGCTTTGTCTTCATTGCATGGCTTCAAAACAGTGTCCCATACGGCACGTGCGCCACGCTTTTGCCAATATTCCCCCACTCCCACGGACAGTGCCAAACACATAATAAAACCCACATCCAAACCAGCCACCGTTAGTCTCAGTCAGTTCTGAATCTTGGAGATCCTGAGTCTGCTGGAGTAGAACTGTGCTCCACAAGGTTTTCGATGGCTAATTGTGTCACAAAAGTAGATCAACAAGCCTTTCTTCCAATAACACATAGTAGGGGTTCAATGAAATCTTTACAAAACTGAAATATTTCCAAAACAAACAAAAAATGTCTTATCATTCTATGTAAGACTCTTGGAAATTTCGCTTTTTAAATTAGACTACGTACAGGTACAGTATATATTTCGTAATGTGAGTCTAAAGCCCTACTTTTCTTGCTGACGTCACACTTGGCCTCCCTGCCACACTAGGTGCACATTCACTATTGCAGCAGGCTAGTGAATGCCATCCGTTCTTCCCAGTTGCCATATGCTTTCCTGCCTTTGGGAGTGTGTACACCCTGTCATCTGGCCTATGACAGTTTTCCTCACCCTACTGTACTCATTAACTTGTCACACATTTGTCTGGTCTCAGTGTCAATGTCTTGTTCTCTACATCTCTGAGTCTGAAGTCAACTTCTACTTCTATTCTTCCATGAGTTTTTTAAAGGCCCCGCATATACATCAATACTTATACACAAGAGAAAACTCCAGCAAGAGAGGTAAGAAATTTGGTCAAGTTTACAAAGCCCATGGGCAGAGCTTTACTTCGGTGTGAGGTTTATCTCAAGATAGAACTCGCATTTTTATATTTGTTTATATTATGTAATAGTACCAAAACTAGTTTTGAAGGTCAAAACTAGTTTTGAAGGTCAAATAACCTGTCCCGAGTCATATATCGAGAGTGACAAAATGAGAACAGATATTAAGTATCATGCACCAGGCATTGAGGCGAGTACTTTACGAATCTCCCTATTCAATACTCTTTCCATTTCATTACCTCATTCCATTAAGAAATCTCAATACGGGCACAATCTATTAATCTGCTCTAAAATAATAATATGTCAGCCAAATAATTCATCCTAAGCTAGTATATTACATATACCCTGTACTTCCCCATGCATCTCTGCATGCATTCACTTCCATAAAAAGTATAAAATAGTAAGATGCAAAATTATCTGCCATAATTTGTTATATTATTTGCATATTTATTTATGTATTTTTCAAGTTTTTACAAAAAATGTTACAGGAGCTAATTTTATGTTATTATGTGTTAGTGTAATCAACAGCAGATGACTGGTGATGCAGTGGTTAGAGTGCTCAGCTCCCAATCAGAAGGTCCACTCTGTCGGAGAAAGACGTAGCAGGCTGCATCTCTAAAAGATGACCCCCTTGGCACCCCATGGACAGATCTACTACGTCTCAGAGGGTCTCAAAGAGTCAGAATCTAGTTGACAGCAGCATATTTGGGTTTTAACATTTTTCAGAATTAGCCTTACCTCTTTTGGGGGGTCTGAATCGCTTTCCTGAGGTACAGGATGGCACGGGGCTCCTTGGAATACCTGGAGTTTTTCTTTTAATTTAGCATTCTCTTGTTCCACTTGAAATAGCTGATCCTGAAGATTAACAATACTTTGCCGGAGATTAGCTTCACTTGATTTTGTGGTTTCAAAACAAATATGTAATTCATTATAAAGCTGTTCCAAAAAATATATTTAAATTGTGTTAATAATAAAATGGTTTATGTCTGCATATGTGTGTATGTATATATATATATATATATATATTACTTATAAAGCAATCACTTGTCTTTAATTACTAATAGCTTAATAAGGGAAACAAGCTATAGATATATGGAAAACTAAATGACATTGTTAAATATCAATATAAAACTACTCAACCTCAAACTTTCTCTCATGGAGTCGATTCCAACTCATCACAACCCTACAGGACAGAGTAGAACTGCCTTGTGAGCTTTCTGAGGCTGTAAATCATCATGGGAGCAGAGCCTCAACTTTGTTCCTGTGGAATAGCTGATGGTGGGTTTGAACTGCTAACCTTGAAGTTAGGACTCTAACATGTAACCCACTACACCATCAGCGAAACACATATACATATGGGTGTGTATTACAACTGATGTGAAAAGAGGCAGTATGAATTATTGGCCAACAGTATCAGAAAAATGCGTTGACTTCCTCAGGTGGATGAGAACACTTTAAGCTATCTAAATTAATCTTGAGTGCTCCGTGAAGGAAGGATGTGACTTGAGCCCCATGACACTAGTATAGACATTAAACAGCAGCAAATAAAATCATGCTAAGGATAAGAGAAGCATGAAAACCTCATACTCCATGGAAGGAAAGAAGGGGAGAATGATGTAAATCAGACTAGGTGAACTTAATATATCCACTTGAAAGAAAAAAAGGTAAAATCCAAGTCCTTCATTGAGAGCTCATTAAGATTTACTGATACAGTAAGTCCCTGAGTTATGAATGAACAACTGTTGAACTTACGGACCTCCCACACTTGCCCTTTAATAAGATATAATTTCCCTCAATTTGAAACTACAGAACCAACTCCTAATTAAACAAAGTACCAGTACTCATCATCACCACTTTGTAGCATGTAGCATTTTAATTCACTGAGTTTTCTAGCCTGTTGTTTCACTCACCAAAACCACACCATTTAAGTCAAGTCCAGGCTAGTTCAGAGCAAGCCTATAGGAAAGAGTAGAGGGGTTCTGTAGGTGTCCAGGGTTATCAATCTTTATGGAAGCGGACTGTCGCATGTTTCTCCCACAATGCTACTGGTGGGTTTGCATTGCTGATCTTCCAGTTACCAGCTGAGCACATTAACAACTGCACAATCAACTAAGGCTCCTTTCTGGCACCAAGTCTCAATATAAAGTGCATGCACCTATTCCAACTTAGCAACCAATTCGCCTTAAAGACAGTAAGAACAGATCTTAGTCATAACTCAGGGACTGACAATAAATTCCTATTTAGGATAAATTCGTTTCTGCCAGTGAAATAGGAGGCGAAGCAGAGAGAGAATGAGAGGACAGAGCGTTGGAGTAAAATTGTAGACAGAATGTAATGACTCTTTTCAGGGCCAGATTACAGAAGATGGGCTTTCTCTGACCGACAACGGGGAGTTTTGGAAGGCCCTTAGACAACAGAGACTAGCAGAAGTAATGTTCTGGGGGGAAATGATACTTTTAATTTTTTATTCAATGCCTTGTGCTTTAAGTAAAATTTTGAAAATGAAGAATTACTATTTGTGACACCTGGTATACAAGTGATACCATACAAAGAGTAACAGATGACTAACAATATCATTACCCCAACATCATTAACGTGCTGGGTGAAAATTCTATGGTTGTGAACAGATGAGACAAACTTCAGTCCACGGTAGCAATTTACATACATCAGCTTTACACGTATTTGCTGTTGGCACACGAACAGTTACTTGAGAGCGCACACGGGTCTTTGTTTGCTTTCAAAAGAAGATTAATAGCGAGATTTTACAACAAAAGAGATCTTCAAACTCCGAAGTGAAGAATCTCAAAATTTGCTAGCTGACATTGGTAGTTTTAGGTTTTATCATCCGGTCCAGCGATGTAAGGAAGTATCTTTGCTCAGGATTGTCAGCCTTGTCTCACGGGAAAATGTGTTAACCGTACAAAAGATAGGAAAAATTTAGTTCATCTATACACTTGGGATTTGAGTATTTTTTGTATGTATGCTACACTTTTATAAACAAAGAGCTTTTAAAAATTTTTAAAGGCTTAGGAAACCTTTCTCTAATGCTTTTCCTGGGAGAGGTAATTTCTCACAAAAACACAGCCCTCTGATATATAATTAAGCTCAATCTACTTTTCTCCTCCATAATGGATTACATTTCTATATCATTGAGGAAACACTTTCAATAATTCAAATACTGCTAAAGAAATCTTTATACAGGAAGGGTTGCCTATATAATTTATAAAGAATTTGTACTTCCCCTTCCCATTACCTTCTTTATGAGGGGGTGTGGCCACATCCTTTTCACAGGTGACGTCCTCAGATGTTCTAGTGGAAGAGGAGTATATGGGAACCTGACAGCTCTAAAGGACTGTGAAGGGATCAGAGCGGACCCTGTCAGGACCTACCTGCACTTTGTTTCTGCTTGCATGACTGAGTTGTTCAAAGTGGAAAAGGGAAAAGCAAATTCTGGAGGCAAAAGCTAAGTGATTAGAAGGAGTTAAAAGTAGGGCAAGGTGAAAAACTGCCCCAAAGCATACACAGCCAGTTATTCAGTGAATGGATTATTCAATCTCTTTCACTTGGCTTCATACTTTATCAAATTAAACACATATTTCTGGAAAAAAAACAGAAAATATTAAACAATTCACAGATTTCAAATCTTTAAGAAACTCACAGACATTGATAAAGGTTGACAAGAAAAATTCACAGCCTGCCTCCCAATTCCCTAGGTGTGTGGGCATGATGCTGGTGTGTGCTCCAGATGGAGAAGCAATGGACTAACTGGCTACTCTCTTTCTTTGGGGTGCCATGTCTCAGTGGCTGCCTTCACAGATACTCACTAAAGGATAGGAGCCTATTCACTTATGGAAGAAGGCAGGAGCCTGTCTCTTCCCGTATTTCCTGTCTTTTCTCCCTTGCTTCCTCTATTTGCCTTGCTTGCTCTGACAACGAGTGTACACAGTAGCACTCTGAGGCAGGAGCTGCCTTGGGCTGATCTGTTTCAACTGGATGAGCCACCCAACACTGGGGGCAAGCTCTCTGCCTTTCTCTGAGCATCCATCCTGCCAAGCGGCTGGTGAGAGATGACTGAGAAAGCATGGAGCAACTTACTTACATTGGCACTGCTACTGATATTGGGACAAGCACTCTCTCATTCCTTAGTCTTCCTCCAAATACAGATCGCCTGCTTGACTGTTTTCCATGATGGCTCACCGACATCATGAATTTAATAGCTATAAGACCACTCGGTGTGCACTTAAAGGAAAAGCAGCAAAGAAATCCCTCCCGCCGTTTTAATTCTAGGCTCCAGTGCACCAGTAGACTTAACTCCGGGAGTCTCCTAACAGGTCAGGCCTAGCTTTAGTTTAAAGAGTTCTTGGTTACAAAGCCTTAGGGCAATACAAAGTTTCTCTAGTGGTTCTTGCAGGGAGGCTGAGGTTTCAGATATCTTAGTGGTTTGCCTACATGCCATCTTATTCTCATCTTACTAGAGTGAAAAAAATAAAGGAGTAAATTAGGAAATACAACAAATACATTCAACTACATTGGTTTAGGCATCCTGAGTTAGTCACGTTTTGCCTATTATCAATCAGAATTCCCTACAGTAGGTTTCACAGAGATTCTTCTATAAGAAATGTTCTGTCCTTAGAGATTTTGGAGTGCATTAGTGTTACTGAATTTTGCAGGATTCTTTTAAAAATATACAACCATTTAGTCTGTTACATACTTTAAAAGCATCTCTTGAAGAAACTGAAGGAAAGCAAGAGAATGTACAGGGGAAGGAAATATACAGGGCAAGTTTTCTTCAGGAATGAGACCCAAGAATCAAAGTCATTGATTTTCAGGGCGTAGGCTGAGTACTTGTGAGAAAGATCCCGGCAAGAGTTACCCTCTTGGAAACCTAACAGGGCATTTCCAGCCCTTCCTACAGCATCGCTGTGAGTCAGATTTGACTCAAGGGCAGTGAGCTTGGTAGAAGGAGTACACCTCTTCCCATATTTTTTATTAATGTGGGGAAATGAGGTGATAGTTCTGAAAAGACCCGTAAGGCATTCGTTTGTTTAAGAACTATATGTACTCCGTGCTACTCTCATGGAGACAATGATACTACAAGGGAAAACTACATCTGTTCACAGCAAAATAAATAAAAGAGAACGCACTGTGAGTTAACATGTGCTTCAGACTCAAAGTACGCATAAGCTAGCATCTATTTTAGTGGGTGGATACGGGTTTGTATCATATAATTACCATCAAATAGAAAAGTTGATACAATTCATATTTAGTGTATCAAGACATGTTCGCCAGGAAGTCATGCTGGTGAAATGATTACCTGTATTGAACACACACACACAGAGACCTGATGTCCAGATGTAAATAACTACGGAAAGGCCTACAAACGTCACCATCCCCTACAGAAGAGAACACACCACTGACTTCCCCTCATTAACAGCAACTTCCCTCCCACGAGGCCGTCTCCATGTTCCCCAGGCGGCAGGTCTGGCTGAGATGAATGAGTTCGTTTTGAGCTCTCTGGTAAAACAGGACTCCCCTCTTTCCTGTGCTCAAAAACCACCCAGTTTTGCTTCACCTTCTATTTCCCTCTTCATTCCCTGCATGCTACTGTTTGGGGCAACTGTTCTCATCTTTTTAGACTGTGAAATGGTTATCAGAAACAGATTCTCCACTTAATAAATGAGGGGATATGAAGAGTAAGGGGGGCAGTTGGACGAATTAAAATGAAAGCATCATTAGAAATGGTGAATTAAGACCTAACTCTTTAGAAGTAAGCTTAGAAAACTGTTGCTATGACACCCATTTTTCTAATCCAATTCACATAAGTCTTAAAACTAAACCCCAAATATTATTTAGAAATACTAAAAATTAACCTGATTGTATGAAAATAAAATTTTACACAAGTAATTTTCATCTCACTGCTGCATAGATTTTTGAAT